CCCGCCTCCCCCCCCCAGATCTGAGCGCTCACTCCTGGAATCGTACACGTGAGAGATCTTCGGCGTAGTGAGTGACATGAGGGGCAAGCGCAAACGCAGGGAGGACTCTAGTGGTTCATATCCTTCCTCAACAATCCCTTACCTTCACTAAGGCTTTGTACCATGTATGTAAGTGGCTCACTCATTTGAATGCCCTCCTCGCTAGTTTAGTTATTTCTCCTCGATTCGGTGCTGTTAGCTGGGCCGATGCTCCCAAGGCTGGAGCGGAGGTGAGAGGGTAGAGACCAACCGCCAACCAAACCAGTTACCAAATCAGTGCTGAAAAATCATTCTAATGGAGCGTTCATAGTTGGCCACCGTACGTGCGACCAGGCGATTAGGCGATTAGGCGATCGCCCATGGGCGGAGCAACAAATCAATACGTACCCTCCTCTTATCGCCTACTCGCCTAATCGATTCGTATACTTTTCATTTTGAATCATCGCCTAATCGCCTAATCGCCTAATCGCACGTACGATCGCCAACTATGAACGCTCCACAGGAAAGCGTTCAAAGACGGCGACCGTACTTGCAATAAGGCGAGTAGGCGATCAAGCGAATGGGCGATAAGAACGCATCGATTTGATTGCTTCGCCCACCTAGCGATCGCCTAATCGCCTACTCGCCTGCGCGCCTAACTGCCTCACCTAATCGCACGCCTTATCGCCTTATCGATGCGTATCCCTTCCCTTGTAGACTAATCGCCCAATCGCATGGACGATCGCCTACTCTGAAAACTGCTCAACACAATCTTATTACTGTGGTGACACCCTTCCCTACTGCACAAAATAGCCTTTCTAACATACGCATCGACTCCATAGAGACCGATGACCTACTCGGGCGCTCCGCTCCGTATTTTGCCTGGCCCGTTCGTTCGGATCACCGTGAAACATCTTTGCCGTGTGAGAAGGGAAAATTGATATAAACCCTGCATTTTACTGGAATTGGTCAATTTTGACAAACTTGTGACCAATAATTAAAACATTTAGTTCAAAAACTCGTAAGACCGAGCAATCAAAAGCGAAAAGCAAAGGAAAAGGACCGCTGAAGACTCCTAAGAAAAATGATAAGAAGGGCAAGCTTTGGTGAGCTCTCATCCTGTCAGCATTTGCCTTGAGCACTATGCATATTTTCATTTGAGCTATTTCAAAATGGAGGGATCTCTATGAAATTAATATCGACTTTTCCAGTGGAAACAAGCAAAGTGACAAAAGTAAACAGTCTAGAATGAAACCTAAAGAAACGGACAAAGCTAAGGATGAGAAGGGCGGCAGTCCAGAAGAAAAGATAAACGAAACTAAAACGAAAGGCTCCAACGACAAGGTAAATAGCAAGGAAAACGACAAAACGAAGGATGCTAAAGAAAAGACTACTGAAAATAAAAACAAGCCTAGTAAAGAAAAAGTGTCCGAGGATAAACCCAAAGATAATAAAGAAAATGGTCCAGGAGACAAAACAAAAAATTCTAAGGATAAGGTCGTCGACGAAAAGGCCAAAACGGAGAAATCAAAAGAAAAGGGTGCCGAGGAAAAAGCTAAAACGGATAAGCCGAAAGGACCGGAAGAGAAAAAATGAAGAAGTGCATCATGCCAGTAACTCACAATCTGAAGCACTCTTAAATACTTTGTGGAAGCATCATATAAAGCTTCAAAAAATATATGTGAAATAAATGTTTACTCACCCCTACACATGCGGAAAACGTTTCATAACTTTCGAAACGATGACGAGTTTCGAAATGTACAAGTGCAAATATTATTGGGCAGCCATTTCGTTCTAAGGACAAAAGTTGCGATGAAACGGATGTTCTTGAAATATTTAAAAAGATGGGTAGTAACAGCTCAGAGGAGTCCAGGTACGTGATAGGTGGCGCTTTCGAGGCAGAAAGTAAGCTACAAAAGCGTGGCGAGGCACCGAATGCCTCAAAGCCCTGCTCAGTTCTCAGAAACGCCCACCGCCGACAAGTTGGAGAGATGACAACCACGATGTGTCTGAGTGTCTGATCGTCTGATTATCTTTCGGGTGCCCTCTTGCTTTGGCCAACGAAGCACCACTGCCTATCGTAGCTGTAATGCCATTACCCGAATTTGTCCCGAACGATCTACAGGGTGGCCGAAAAGTATAGGACGCGGCTTTGACCGCTTGCTGGCACTGAGCCGTGGAGTATTTTCAGAGTGTTTCGAAACTCTTCGAAAGCTTTGAAACTATGTAAGAAGCACCATAAGTTGTTTGGTCCAAAGTTCATCTGAACTCTCGCCATGAAGATTTTTTTGCATCGACCCATTACCAAGAGGCTGCCCAATGACGGTCTCTGAAATTGCAACTTCGGAAAGCGACTCGGTATTCCCTCTTCAACTCTTTGAAACATGTTCGGTGCTCTCAATTAAAGGCACG